AAGTAGAGTAAGAAGCAGTTAGACATGGAAATTGTATATGATCTCTATAGACATAGAAAAATACAAATACAACTGAGATAAATGAAAGAACATTTAAATAAATAAAGGAGTATACTATCATCATGGAAGAGAAGAGAATATTATAAAGATGTCAGTTCTTTCCAAATTGATCTAGAGTCAATACAATCTCAATCTAAATCCCAGAAGTATTTTTGTGGAAATTAATAAACTGATTCCAACATTTACATGTGAATTAAGAGCCAAGAATTGCAAAGACAATCTTAAAGAAAATGAAAAAAGTTGGAGGACTTAAACTATTCAGGTATCACTATCAAGCAGTATTTCAAACAGTCTGGCACTGGCACAAAGACAGACAAGTAGGCCAATAGTACAAAACAGTGTATCGAGAAAAAGACTCAAACATATGGTTACCTGACAGCCCACTGCAATGCTGTGGGGACATGATGGTCTTTTCAAGAAATGGTACAGATCAACTAGATACCCACAGAGGGAAAATAAGTACTGATTCACACCATGCACAAAATCAATTTCTGTTTAAACTGTAGATCTAAATGTGATGACTAAGATAAATTTCTTAGAAATAACATATCTTCATGATCTTAAAGAAGACCCAATTTTTCTAAATAGAATACAAAAAGCACTAACCAAAACCAAAAAAATCTGATAAACTGGGCTTGATTAAAATAAAGAACCTCTTTTCATCAAGATACCATATTAAGAGAGTGAAAAGATAAACCACTGATTGGATGATATGTGCAATACATATATTATATACATACAAAGTACTCAACTCTGACAAATCAAAAGAAAAGATGACAACTCAATTTTTTTTAATGGACAAAAGACTTAAAATGCACTTTACAAATAAAGGATAAACAAGGCTGGCGGGCACACACAAAGGTTCAAAATCAATATTCCTCAAGGAGATTAAATGAAAACCATGAAAAAGGTCGTATACATCCACTAAAATAGGTAAAATTAAATATAATGTAATACTTAGTGTCAGTGAGCAACTGGAACTCCCATAATCTGCTGGTGGAAATGTAAATTGAGATAGTAGCTTTGGAAAACTGATTGGCAGTATCTACTAAAGCTGAATATATGTAAATCCTGTGCCTCAGAAAACTCTACTATGTATACACCCAACCTGAAATATATGTTTACCAAAAGAAATGATAAGACTGTTCTTAATATCATTATTGCAATTGCCAAAACTGGAAACAACTTAAACATCCATCAGTACTAGACGGGATAAATAAATTATAGTACAGTCATATGGAGTACTATATAGCAAAGAAAAACACTAAACTTTTATTACATGCAGCAGCATGGAAACTCAAGACATACAACTGAATAAAAGACATAGAAGAGTATGTACTGCATGACGCCATTACTATAAATTTCCCCCAAAAATGGCAAAACCAATTCTGGCAATGATCCACATCTTGATCAGGTGATGTGTAAATACATTATGTTCACTTTGTAAAGTTCTAATTCCATACATATTCATGTACTCTTCTGTATATATTTAACAATCTCACTTACAAAAATTAAGGGAAAAAAGGCACTTGACAAAATTCATCCAAATAAGAAGAGATTCAAAATAACTCAAAAATAGACCAAAGAAAAAAATTGTTAGTAAATGCTAAATCCACCTAAATATAGCACTATTGCCAAACCATTAGAAAACAGAAATGAATGAACTTCTACAATCTAAATTTATGTAATTAAAATACAGTTTATCTCTATTATTGTATCAGGCTAAAACAGCTGGATAGATTTTCACTAAATTTAGAGGGTATATTGGGGGCAATTTGAAACTATAAGCTATGGTATGAAGACTGCGTGAGGTGCGATTACCTCAGAGAGAAAGGAAGTGGTCCACCAGAGCAACTGCAGGCTACTAATTTACAATGGAAGCCCTCTACTCTTATGCAACTGTTTGTACTCTGTTCCAGGCTGAGTGCCAACAGGGGTTTATTTAACAATGGTTAATGACTTTTCAGAGAAACTCTAGAAAGACCAATTTGCATGATTTGGCTAAAAAACTAAAATTTAAAAATTAGAAGGTAAAACAGGTAGAAGGAAAGAAAGGTACACATATTTCACAGGGAGCAGCAATACAGACTGTCTGAAAATGAAAAAATACAAATTGCAGGGCCATGCTCTAGACCTCCTCAATGACTCTCCAGGGATGAGACTCACAAAGGTTTCCAATCAACATCCCTTTTTGTTGACTTGGGCAGGCAACTTAATCAAAATCCTAGAAGAAAATAGCTAATGGAGGTATTAATGTCCTTTTAACTTGCTGAGCTCTTTCCAGTAAATTAAGCTGTTCTTAACCCAGATGGAACAGGGAGAAATTCCTTACGGATGGGACTACATGCCATTGATCTTTGTGGTCCCAGAGACTTAGCCTAGACCAGGTACATAAATTAGACCTTATACATAATTGTTGAATGCTGACTTACAAGTACAAACTGAATCCAATAACTGTTGCATTGTACTGCCATATTCTAATGAAAGTGTTTAGTTATAATCAACACTAAAAATCTTTTGGCTTTGTACTTTTTAAAGGCAGATTTACACTTGGTCTCTTTCTTTTCAGCCTTACGCCATCCCAAAATTCTCTGCTTTAAATAAAACTCTTTGCTATTAAGCTGGAAACAATTCCAAGTGGGTAAATTCATATTTCACTCTGTTTTCCAAATATACTGCACTACAGTCAAGCATAGTTGAAAAAAAAAAAATGAACAGAAACCTTTATTCCATTGTTTATCATATTCCATTGTTTTCTATAGGTTTTACCTATATCTCTTAGGAACCTAAAGAGAAATATACAATGAAGTGATTAAAACTACCTTTTACCAAAGAACTGATAAACACAAAGCACATATACTCTATACTTTTAAAAATTATGACAAAGGAAAAGAGGAGGAAGTAAATATGCTAATTATAAGAATTAATGGAGTTAATATTTAGTTTTGAGCCTCCTGGTAACCAGAGCAAAAAAAAAAAACCTCGCTAAAAAGAGACAGCATACTAGTTTCTCTAAGATCACTCTTCCTTGTAGGAAGCCCCCAACTTCTCATTCAGTGGAGCTCTGCTTTCATCTGTTTTAGATGGGAGTATTTATAATGTATTTGAAAAAAATGTTTTGTAGCTTAAAAAAAAAAAAGCTTTTAAAATACTGCTCTGGTCTAATTGTTTCACTTTATAAACAAAAGCCAAAAAAAATAATAACTCACTTTAGTTACATGGTTACCAAGCAGCTTCTTGATTTTACCTAACCTGATGTTAACTTCTAGTAATTTCTTTTCAATACAAAGAAATGCCCTATATCAGCAATAAGTACATAAAAGTAGTAAACTAATAAAGTAGACCTCCTAATAATTCAACTTGGTATTCATCCTCACATCTTAATGAAGCTTTATACACATAAGGGATGATTCAACAGGAAATTTCCAGCCTTCTGAACTACCCAAGGACACAAGAGAATTTTAAGGTCACAGATGTTAGCTCTGCAGCAGACTGACCTATTCAGTTGTAAAGTCAGCCAACCTGCAGAAACTAAATTTCCTCCAGCATGTAAGTCCAAACAACAGGGATTTATTTGCAAAGGAAGGGGGAGTTACTCTGGACAAGTTCTTACTGCAGCAGAGATCTTTACATCTCAATCAGCAAAATTTTAGAGAAAAACACTGTAGATGCTAGCTATAAATATCAATACAGAGAAATCTGTAGTGAGCAATAATATGCATGCTGTATGTTTATGCATGTAAGCAAACAGTAAGTTTACTACTTTCCTGAAACACCCCACTCAGGCTTCCATTCTACCCTCTTTATTTCAAACCTGGATATGGCTTTCTGGATATGGCACATCTGTTCACCACAAAAATGGAGCAGACACAATCAAGACAAAACTTGTGAAAGAAAAATATATATACATAGACGCATGTGTGTAATTCCAGATTCTATTATGAAATTACAAGGACACCTGCTATTTGTCAAAACAGAAAAGTCAAATTCATGATTCAATTTTGAAATTCCCATCTCCCTTGTTAATTAAAAAAGATGAAAATGTCTTAATTCTGTTGCTTTTGATTTAAAAGAGAGAAAATTTGTTTTAACCCTTTTTCTCATAGTTTGGAATATTAGATTTCCAACAAATATATTGGAATTTACAGAGTGAATGACAATAAAAGTAGAAAAATATTTTTCTTCTAAAAGTAGTTTTCCTTTCCCATATAGAAACAGGTAACACATTTTATTAAATAATTTCAGACTATAAAGGAAATCAGTAAGTTTATCAATAATTACCAAAAATAACCAATAGTAAATCAATAAGTTAATGCATACCTGTAAAATCTAAACTTTAAATTGATACCAGAAGTTCTGTATAGGCTTATCTAATACTTCTACCATAAAGTTCACTGTTTAGCATTTCTCTCCAAAAAATTAATCCCCTTATATACATATATACAGCTTTATAATGACAAAATGATAGTTCTTCAAAGAGCAAAATAATGTTCAAATGGTAAACACACTACACCAACAAACAAGAAAACTTTCAAATAGTAATTTTTAAAATACTAATTTTCAAATGGTAAACACTTTGACCATACCCACAAATAAGGAAATCCTACTTGGAAGAAAAGAACACATAAATTATGAATTCAGTATCCTATAAAACTCCCTTAGATATCAGTATCCCAAGTTAGAATCATTTTAGGAATTTAATAACTTGCTACCAGACATAAAAAATACATATTTATTTTTCTACAACAGTCTACACATTGTCCTGTGTGTCCAAAATCATAAAAAGATTTTGCCTTTACATCGTGGTGATAAATATTTAATTGCCAAGCAATTTGTTATTATTTTCTTCCCTGAGCTACTGCTATACTTTTTCAAAATTAGTGTCTGTGCACAATTATAATCACAAAAAGCCCAAAGGATAATTAAATTTAAATACTCACCTTTGTTGATGCTTTTGCTTTCAAACCTCCATTTTCCACAACACTGAGGTCCAGTTTGCCATCATCCTTACTTCCTATAGCTTTTAGTCCTTGCAAAAGAATGTCTCGTAAATTTTGATAAAGAGGTTTTTCAGTATAGCCCAGTAATTTCACTGTTTCCATGTATTTAGCAATTTCACCTAAAACAATAACACATTTTATACTTTTAATCACAAATCTAATATACTTATCTCTTACTTCTAAGAAAATAATTTATGGTTATAGTAAAATTAGAACGCAAATATACAACATCTTGTTAAGACACATGTTTTTTTCCCAATCACTTCAATAAAAAATATGCTTTTGAACTCAGGAATTGTCAGCTAAGTCAAATAAAAAAATGTATTTGAGATATAATATAAAAACATTTTTGTAATTGTGAGAGACAGTAAGAATACATACTTAAAATTTAAGTATGTATAAATATAACTGCTATAGTTTTAAAGCTATAAAAAAATACAAAGAACCTAGAAAAGGATTATGAAAGTAAAATGTCCTTAAGTACAATGAATATCATACTCAATTTTTTTAATTTATTTTTTTGCCATAGAAGCCATTTGCTTTATAGCAGATAGCTGGATTCTTTGTGTGAAGGAGAAATAAAACACACCAAAAAACAGTTTGAAGAAAGGAGAAAGAAGGTCTGGTTTTCCCATAAAAGAGAAAAATTGTCTTCAAAATGATAAAAGGTTTACTGTACACTGAGGCAAAACCACACCATAAAAAGAAACCCTACTATTCATAATTAACACTTCTTAACATTAAAGACCATTTTAGGGCTATTGACTTACATATAGATCTTTCCCCTGCCCTCCAGCCTTGTATATTCACTGCCTCACATATGGATTGATTCTTGAAGGTGTAACTGTCGTCTCAAATCCAAATCCAAACTCCTGACCTACCCTGAAAACCTGTTTCCTGCAGTTTTCTCTGTCTCGGTTACACAGAATTCCATCCTTTTAGCTTCTTAAGCCAAAAACTCAAGAGTCAGTCATCCTTAGAATCTTCTCTTTTTCTCACACCCACATCCAATACATCAAGAGATCTTGTCAGTGCTACATATACACAAACATTCACAAATCCATTAATTCAAATATTTATTGAGCACCTCTTATATGCAAGGCACTATCCTAGATACTTGCAATACCTCAGGAAAAAAGAGACTAAAACCCCAAACTTCCACTTTCTTCATCTGATAAATAGGATCTACAAAAAATCTAAAACAAGCATCACCACGTATGGTAAAATACTGAAAATGTTCCCTTTGAGAGAGGACAATGGTTAAGATATCTACTTTTACCACTTTCATTCAGTGTAATGAAATAGTCACGTACACTTTTAGCCAGTACAGTAAGGTAAGAAAAGATAAACAAAGTATAAAGAGTGAAAGAAAAGATGTAAAATAGTCTTTATCACAAACAACATGATAGTGCATGTAGAAAATCCTACAGAATCTACCAAAAAAAATCTACTAGAACTAATAGGTAAATCTAGCAAGGTCATAAGATGCAAGATAAATATATAAAAATCTACCTTATTTCTATATACTAGCAAAAAGGAATTAGAAAATACTTTTTTAAAATATCACTTAAAATAGCATCAGAGAGGAACAAATACTTAGCACCAAATCCAATGAAAAATGGGCAAGATTTTTCCAGAGAAGACTATAAAACACAGTTGAGAGAAATTAAGTTAAGACCAAGTTTAATAAAGGATATATACCTTAATAAAGGATTGGAAGACTCAATAGCATAAAGATGCCAATACTCCCCAAATTAGTCAAAGTTCCAGCAACTTAAGGGCAGGGCTATGTGGGTGTATAATTGACAAGGTGATTCTAAAACTTAAACAGAAATGTAAGGAGCTAAGAATAACAACTCAGCAAAATCAAATTTAAAGAAAAATAGTGCTACAGGACCTAAACTACCAGATACCACCAGATATCAAGACTTAAGATAAAGCTACAGTAATTAAGTGTTTGTCCCAAGAACAGACAAAAAGAACAATTGAAAAAAAAGAGTCCAGAACAGATCCACAGATCCAAACTTATTTATAACAAACATGGCACCATAGGGAAAGAATGATCTTTACACGAAAAGCTGCTGGGTCAATTTAATTTAAATACAGGGTGGGAAAGAAATCTAATCCCTCCTCATATAATATACAAAAATCAATTGCAGGTGGACTACACATCTATATGTATAATTAGCAATATGTAATTGCCAAAATTGTAACAACCCAAAAGAATAGATAAATAAATAATGGTATATAAATACAGTAGCATACTATATAGAAATGAAAATGAAAAAACTACTGTTAAATATGCAACAATGGAGATGAATTTCACAAACTTGCGTGAAAGAAAAGGACACTAACAAAACTATACGTTAATTTCATAAGGACAGAGATTTTTTATCTATTTCATTCATGGTATGATTCCATTTCTATAAATTTTAAAAACAAATCTTTGACACTGGAAGTTAAGCAAGTGGCTCATTAGGACAAGAGGAAGAGGCTACAGACTGGTAGGAGACATATGGGGTAATTCTGAGAAGGTCATATTGTATTTCTTGATGTGGGTGGTAGGATGCAATTTTAAATAGCATAAGGTAAGGGTAGACCTTCCTGAAAAGGAGAAAATTGAGCAAAGGCTTGAAGACTTCTAAATATATCCAAACCAACTGCTTCTCACTACCTCTACCGCTCTGTCCCTTGCCTGGATTACAGCAACTTCTCACAACAGAAGCTGGAGATTCCCCTCAAAAACAAGACAGTTCGTGTCATTCTTCTACTCCAAACGTCATAATCTTGCTTAAAGTAAAGGCCAAAGCCCTCATGATGACCTACATGGACATATTCCTCAAATCCACTGGACACTTGTGTTCCTTTTATCTAGAACTCTCTTCCTCAGACATCCACACAACTTACTCTCTCTCTTACTTCCTGCTGCTTAAATATCACCTTCTTGGTGAGAGTGTCACTGGCCACCTTACTTAAAACTTCAATCCTCCTTCTCACTTTACCTCCCACCCCATCCCCACACCTGCAATTCTATTACCTGTTTTCTTCTCTTTCCACAGTACTAATCACATAACAAACTGTAAAATTCACTCATTTATTTACTATTTATCTCTCCCAACTAGAGTTTAGCTTCATGAGGGCAGAGGTTATTGTTTGCATCCCCAGTGCCCAGTGCCTAGAACATTTCCTGGCACACAATAAAGCCTCAATAAATACTAGTTGACATGAATGACATTTACTTCCTTTCCTGAAAGCACTGAATAATAATTGAATGAGGCTCAAGTATTTGTATAACAACCAACATTTGGAAAGGCAAGTGCTTTTTTGGTGAAAGCAGATCCTAGTACAATGATTATACATAAGGGATATTCCATGGATAGCATGCCTTTATTTTTCCAGAACATAAAATCCCTATTAATATTTAAGAAATCTTTTCCTACCTGGTTTGTTTTTCTCAGGAAAACATTTGTCCATCAAACCTGTAATATTTTCTCTATATCTGTTAAAAATTAAACATTCAGTCATTGTTTGAAGCTTGATGTCACAGAATGTTATTAATATTTAATAACAATAAATAGCACATTAAGCTATATTGTGCTTCAATCCTAAATATGCTTATTACAAGTTCTCTTTTACCTAATTTTGGAATCTCTAACATATTTAGGATCTTTCAAATTATCCTCCCAAGGAAGATGGCCAGTCAGCCACTGGATCATGCAATAACCAAGTATTTCCAAATCACCACGTCTTGATGGGGCTACAAATACAAAACAAGAAGATTAGGTATACTGAAATAATTTTTAAGGTATAATTTCAAGTATACATGAAGCAATAAGGTAAAACAGCTAACTCTACAGTCTGTTTTTCATCACAAAATTCTGACTGCATTTAATAAAGTACTGCAAAATTGGAAAGCATAAAAGAAATAACTTACCTGCTAATTTACCTCCAACTAGTAATTAACTTTAAAACCCAAACTGTTAAACTTTAGGGTTTCAAGCTGAGACTATTAGTCTAGGAAATAAATTATAAAATAATAACATTTAATATTCCCTTTGGAAAACTTGAAGAAATTCCTAAAAATGTTATATGTTTTTAAGAGGCCCAGAGAACTGGGTGTTTGAGATCCTCCACAGCGTTGGGCACTGATAAAAAGGCATGATTGCTGAAGGATAAGCTAACTTAAGAGGTGACAAAATAGGTTACCTATTATACAGTTGTAGCTACACAGAAAACTTACACATCTTAGAATAAACAAAAGCAAACCGACATTCCAGTTAAACTAAATAAAACCAAAAAGCAATCCTCATTGCAGTTGAATGAACCACTTCACCCCTACCACCTTCATGGTTATCTTTGAAGGGTAATAGGAAAGGGAAGGAGAAAAGAACACATGCCCCAGAATATAATTGTAGGAGTCTTGCCTCTACCTTCTTTCCCCATACCACCTTGACTTTTCAATTCTTATTTAACTATTTATTTATTTATGCATAACTAAGAACTGTGTAGGAATTTGGCTAACAACATTAGCAGCATATTTCTCATTCTGGTACCACTGACATACCTACGCCATTATGTGCATCGATGCTGGTAAATTCAATGGTGCCATCATGACACCTTTTGGGGTCTTCTTTGTATTCTTTATGAACTCCTTCTGGGCAGTACCGATAAGCAAGGCCATAATCTACCAAGTACACCTATAAATTTCCAAGCAGCAAGACAAATTAAAGCCAAAATCATTACACATATACTCCTTTAAAGCACAGAAACAAATACTAAGGGTGAATCCACCTACAAGGCCATATCATAGAGCTCCAAATAAGATAGATCCAAAAAGCAAACAGGAACAAACATTTCATCCTAAAAGACTTTTCATTTTTAATAAAAAATTGAAATGACCATGTAGCTATAGTCTGAATAGCACTGACTTTATGTACTTTTTTAGACGAGTGTTATACTTGTAATTAATCTTGTCCAACTTGAACAAAGATTATAAATTTCGTATGTTCTCTTACAGAGTCTAAAACAAAATTGAACACAGAGTAAACCATCAACACTTGTTGTAACACAACTGCTACCTTCCATGTAGAAAAGCATACCGACTAGGAGACTGCTAACAGAGTTGACACATGATACATTAGTTACCTTCTATTCCAATGTTTCTTCACTTGTAAAATAATCAAATCCCAATTTACTTCATAAAAACATTTCATAGATTGTAATAATGATCTAAAATAACTTTTAGCTGAGGCTCTTATCTACATTTAAGTACTATACATTAAAATCAAGTCTTCATGATTAAAACTAAATTTTAATATTATATACACACATATCTGTGGGCATATACACGTGGGTCTGATGGGCACACAAAGCTAATAAATTTGGTTTCCTTCTATTCCATAGCCACATAGTACATCTCTAATTCTGGATAAATGTCACAAACAATGCATCTGGGCACAAGGGGAAACTTTAGTAAAAATACGAGGCTAGATCTAGCACACATCTAATATGGGAAAAATAATTCCATCCAGAGCGTATGTCCCAAGTATATAAACACTGCAAAAATATTCTCATATAAACAAAAGGCAGCATGTTTTAGTCAAATGCAAATTGAGATAAGGTGTATTTTTATTTACTATATTATACAAATCCAATCTACTACAATTAATGGAACCCTTATTGCTTAAGGCTCTTAGCTGGTTTTGTTTTTAATGTAGAAACATCCTAGAACAAGATGTGTAGAAAGAGTCAGTATGAATTTGGAGATTACCTTTATGATTCTCCATTAGCATGCTATAGTATAGCAACCTTCTTCTGTTGTACTTACTTAGATTCCCTTATATTCACCATAAATGACATGGAAGGAAGGGAAACAAACACATGAAATGACAGAAAAAGAAAAGAAAGCCAAAGGAGAAAGGAAAAACTAAGCAAAGGTAGTTAAGGATAAGTTTGACAGGAAGAAAAATGAAGTATAGAATATTGACAAATAATTATAGTAATCAAAGTACCCAACACATTTAAAATGTTTAAATTGTCCTTTTTTTCATACAAGATCAATTAAGAAGTAAGAATATACATTAAGTAGAGTGGCCCAACTGTGAGTGTCAACTGAACCTTTTACCAAAATCATGGAAACAGATTTACAAGAAAATTGTATGGATGCCTCTAATCCAACTAAACTGACCCAAATAAAGGTATAATAATATTAGCTTTTTTCCTTTCCTTAGAAAGTAAAAATTACAAAGGGAATGTAATAAACAAACAAACAAAAAAGATAAAAATGTACATTTGAATTCCAAACACTAAGGGTATACAAATTTAGACAGCTAAGATATTTCTGTAAACCAATTGATTTGAATAATCAACATGTTAAAGACCAAATTTTCCAAGTAACAGAACACTTACATTTGATGGATTTCTTGAACAAAGGAAATAAAAAAAGTGACAAAGCAGACAGGCAAACATAATTCATTGGTGTACTATATAATTTTAAGCTTCCACCCCCAAATAGCTATTTGAAATTCATTTTGTATCACAAGTACTTCTTCTGAATATTATTTGGGCAAAATAGCCAACTTGATAAAGTGCCAACAAATTGCATCAAAAATGTAGAACGTTAACTAGATAAAAGTGTCAAGAAGAAATATTATTATTACCATATCTACTTCAAAAAGTAAAACTTCTGCATGGGTTCAAAAGTTCAAAGCAACCATATTTGTTTTCAAACAACATGTTTTAAATAGTTGAAATTAAAGTTATAAAACTACCTGGTCAGGATTCTTGTAGCTCAGAAGGAGATTTGAAGCCTTGATGTCTCCGTGTACATACTCATGCTCGTGAATATATTCGAGAATATCCAGCTATGAAGCATCATACAGAATAAAATTAATGCAGTACCTAACACCAACCAGCAGAGGACCAAACTTCAACACAAACTAGCCTTTACTGTATTAAAAACAATTTTTTAAAAACAAGAACATAGCTCACATACAATTCTTAAGCTTAGCTGCAAGACAGTTTTCCGAGAAAACCTTTTGGCATTTGCTTCATATATTTTCTGAAGGTCACTCCCAAAGCGATCCATTATCATAAACCTGTAACTGAAGACAAATATGTAAAGTCAACCAACAAAATATGACTCAGGAAAACCTACTTTACAATGAGTTTCCTCCCTTCAAAGTAATTTTTCCAAGGCAACATTTAGTAAGAAAGTATTCTTTTAAAAACGAAATACAAACATTTGAAACAATTTCTCCCAACTAGAAATCTCAAGAATTCAGAGTGTTGTCCTGTCCTGCCTTTTACCTGGAGGGCCTCTTCCTCATGTCAGCTAGTTATGGGAGACAACATTCAATTCAAGAGAAGTCAACAGATTTCATTCACAGTAAAAATAAAACAATCTAAATAAGAATGATAGCACTGATTTTTCTCATAGTTAAAATTAATTTATGTTTCTGGGTATTAGCTTCTTTCCTATGACTATTTTTCTCTATTTTTAAGGTGTATTTCAGCAGTATCAACACTCTGTTAAAATCAAGACTGTCAAGAGATGCTGTAACAACGGCTAAATTCAATAAAATCATTTAAGTAGTGTAAAAGAACTGTACATGAAACACGCAATGGCCAAGATTTGGGGAAAACCAAATATCCTGGAAAAATATGAAGATTTTGGTTTTTGCCACAAACTAGCTATGTCACTCTGGCTAAGTCACATTCCTTCAATTTCCACAAGAGTAAAATGAGAGAGTAGGAATTCTCCCTTACTGTAGTCTTTTTGAGCACTCAAATTCTAAGATTCAATAATCTTATGTTGTATTAATATTTCAGTATGTACTGAAAAGCATCACTGATTTGAAGTAACACTGCTCAGTGTCTGCTCTGAGAACCACTTTTATCTTCAACAGTTTCCCAGATTCCAACTTGTCTGGTTAAATCATTCAATAAATCAATAAAAACTAAGGCCACATTCAGAATGTATCAACATGTCTTAGAATGGGTGTAAGATTATGAATCATCATAATCATCACAGCATCTAGCATTTACTGATCACTTGGTATGAACATGGCACTACTCTTAGCAGTTTAGATATATTAATGCATTTAAAAACTCACATCACCCCTATGAGGTAGGTACTCTACCATCCTCATTTTACAGCAGAACAAAAACCTAAGTAGTTTGTCCTCTAGTATGTGGTAGGGCCATGATTTTAACCACTGCACTACACATAAAACATCTCCTTCAACATGCAGAAAGGAAAAAGCAGTTTGGAAACTGATGTACAGGGGGTAGTCAGAAGCTATAACATGCTGTTGAGCAAGGGATGAGATGATGTGATGGTGAAAGTGGCACTTGGGAATTGGTTTACATGGTGAATCAGAGACTATCTAGAGGGGAGTAAAGTAAGAAAAACCCTTTGCAGATGACTTGCTAGAAAGCAAATGTATTTGTGCTCCAGTATGCAATAGTTATATTCTTAAGAAACAGTACATTATGTAAAACCACATTTGTAGAGATGATTGGAAGAAAAGTGTGCTGGGAGAGGAGGGAGGATGGGAGGGAAGAAGAGGAAGGGGGAGAGGAAGGAAGGAAGGAAGGAAGGAAGGAAGGAAGGAAGGAAGGAAGGAAGGAAGGAAGGAAGGAAGGAAGACAAATGTCAGAAGGATACAAAAATCCCATTTATATGTTGCAGGCTTCTATAATAATAATACAATATGACAAGTTCCATAGGGAAGGAATAGCTAACTAACATTAAATGACAACATACCAAATAAAAAATTCAAGATTCTAACCATTTTTGAACTGGAAGAAAATTAGACATCATCTTGTCTAAACATCTTTTAATAAATAAAATAACTAATGTCTATGTAGGTAAAGTGATTTGTCTAAAGTCATATAACTAGTCAGTGGCAAAACATATACATTCACGGAAGATTTCCCATTACTCTGATCTATAAGATAATAAAGAATGAACAAGAATTTTGACTTCTTGATTTCCTTTATATCCCAGGTCTTCAAAGGTTGAGACCAGGACATATAGATATGTTGGCTTGTACTAAATAAGTGATGTGTATAATGATTATAAAACAGGTTGAACATGCCAAATCCAAAAACCTGAAATCTAAAATACGCCAGAATTTGAAACTTTTTGAGCACCAAGATGATGCTTAAAGAAAATGCTCACTGGAGCATCTTCAGATTTCAGATTTTTGGATTTGGGATGCTCAACTGGTAGGTATTAATGCAAATATTGCAAAGTAAATGTAAAACACATCTGGTTCCAGGCATTTTTGATAAAAGATACTCAACTGTAATACATAGGTAACAAAAATATGTCTGACAACAGTCTGAAAGAGGGCTGAAATACAATTGCTTAATTCAATATGGGACCTATTAATAAATCACATTATGTAGGTCTTTGTTTTTATTCATAGATCATCCTACCACTATTTTAAACAATCCCTTAATCTCCTCACTATTTCTAAATTATAAGTATCAACTGCAGCATGATTCCATAAATTGCATATAAATTTACCACATTCTTCTAGAAAGACAGCTCTACTACTGAGTAGTAAGATGAAGGTTATTTCTAAGTAACTCCTCTAAAGCAAAAACTTTGATGTATACTTTTCTAGGGACTTGGATAAAATATGCAAGTAATGAGAAAATATAAATTAGTATAAATGATTTTACTAATTATAGCAGCTAACATTTTTACAATCCAAACATTGTTCTAAGCCCTACATACATATTAATTCAAATGAGTTACAAGGAAAAGTAGGGATTTCTGGCAGGGAGGGGGCTGGAAAAATCATCTTACTTTCTATTTCTTTACTTTTGTATGAATTATAATGATTATTTTTAAGAGCTTCAACTTAAAAATAAATCAATACCTTATACATGACTAATGTTCTCTCTTTGAAGGAGACATTTCAAGCAACCTAATTTCTAGCAGAAACAGGATAGGAAGTAAGGTCACCACTAGCAAGTGGTGAGTTAAGACTTTGGCTTGAGTATGTCTGGTTCCAGTCACTGAACTGTTAGGCACCTCTGATCCACACCAGCGAAGTTCTCTCTAGCAGCACCCTGGTCAGTCAGCTTATAGAGTCAACCTTCGACCTCACAGTCTCTCTTAGGCCCTGGTAACCCTCACAGGAATCACACACATGCAAGCTCTATTTAACTGGTCCCAAGCTTTAACGTAAAATAGGTGATAAGAATGTCTACAGTACAATAGGCTATGACAGTGTGGGCAGCTTTAAGACAGATCACCATTCCCTAGCAAAACACCACCATTTCCAAATATAAATAATAAATAAATAAAACCAAAAATAATAACCATAATGATAACCAGAAAGTTTTCCTTTACTTGCAGCTTAAAGCATCCAAAGCAAACTAAACCCAGTTACAAACTAAATAATTACAATGGATATTTACTGGGCACTTACTATCTGTCCCTTACAATTTACGTGTTTTCATTTCATCTTAACAATAACTCCATAGAGTAATACTATTATCCCCATCTTACAGGTAAGGAAACATTACAGTAAAGAAACTAGCCCAGGACCACACCTGATGGAATCAAAAATAATCAACTAGTGCTAGATTTGTTCAGTGATATTTAGGTTTTATTGTGATATACTATACTTTTTTTTTAGAAGAAGTTTATAAGAAATTATGGAAGAGTTGGAAGAGGCTTTTGTTATTCTAAGTCCAAAAGTGCTCTAACTCCAAGCACACTTTTCTTCCAATCATCTCTACAAAATGTGGTTTTACATAATGTACTGTTTCTTAAGAATATAACTATTGCATACTGGAGCACAAATACATTTGCTTTCTAGCAAGTCATCTGCAAGGGTTTTTTCTTACTTTACTCCCCTCTAGATAGTCTCTGATTCACCATGTAAACCAATTTCCAAGTGCCACTTTCACCATCACATCATCTCATCCCTTGCTCAACAGCATGTTATAGCTTCTGACTACCCCCTGTACATCAGTTTCCAAACTGCTTTTTCCTTTCTGCATCTTCATTATGTGCTCCAGTCCTTTCTCTAAGTTTATTTCCTTCTCTCCTTTATATACATGCCCTCTTCCTTTGCTGGAGAAAGATGGGCATCAGGCTACACAGCAGGACAGAAGGCTCCACAGCAAGACAGACAGCTATCCATTCCTGGAGATGTCAGCCCTCCTTTCAATGATTTTCTAAACCACTAGGTCTTAACATTTAAGGGATTAAGGACCCCTTTGGGAATAAAACCGAACACTTATCTATATTCCACATATTAACTAAGAGCTTTACATTTAATCCTCATTAAGTAGGTAGCTGTTAATCCATTTCACAGATGAAGAAACTGAGGCAAAAGAAGAAACTTACCTAAAGTCCCATACATTTTAAGGGGAAAAACAGATTTGAAACTAGACAGTCTGGCTCTAGAATCTTCACTCTTAACTTACTTAACCAATCCTTGCTCTATAGTATTTCTCCAGGAAACCTTATAAAAACTATGAAAATTTGTCCCAGCAAAACTATATATATCAACATGTTACATGTAATGTCAGGGAGCCCCACACTCCCTAAAAGATGCAAGGATACCATGTGAACAACACTGGTTGCCTGCCCAACAACTACCCCTCCTCTTAGTCTTTTCTAACAGAGCACCTTTTGGCTCAGGCATTCCCCCTCTACCACAAAGCCAAATCCCTCACCAAGTCAATCACTGTGATCACTCTGCCCATGCCAGTGAGTGGTTTAAGAATGGGCACTGATGTTAAGTCTAACCAAGAAACATGAGAAGAACTCTGCCACAGGACTCCTGGGGAGAGAAAGTCACAAGATGTTATCTATTTTCTGCCAGTGGGTCCCATGTCTACACATGAAGCCTAGAAATGGGGCAGCCACCTTGAGACCACACCATAGAGAACTAACAGAGAACAAAGCCAACGTGAGGAAGGCAAAGGTACAAAATAAGGAACCTGGGCCCTTGATCACTGCCTAAGATAGGTGAGTCAAAGTTTTCCTTACTTGCAGCTTAAAGCATCCAAAGCAAACTAAATCCTGTTACAAACTAAATCTACTCTTCAAGTTTCAGCTATGAGCCTTACTCCATGAAGCTCCATTTATTCAAATATTTAGAAAGTGTTGCTTAAGCATAAAATATTAGAGGTTTTCTCCAATGCAACTATGCCAAAGTATGCATTCCCTCCATTCTCTGAACTCGTAAGGCATATAAGAGTCAGAATTACACAATAGCACTTAATTGTTCTCTAATTATTTCATACACGTTTGTTCTCTCACCAGCTAGACTGAAACCCTCATAAAGGGTGGAGTCTAATCTTCTGTGAGTAGATTATGTATGTAACATGAAATATCAAAGAGAATCCTAAAAGGCTCCCTTTTGCATGGAGGACATGGGGGCTTTGTTTATTTTTAAGGGAAAAAAATCAGGGCCTGTTTGGTTTTGTTCCTCCTTGTCTGCTGGTTCTAGTCAGTTGATATTGCTCTATAGAAGTCCCCTGATTAGAGAGGAACCTCCATTCTATTCTAATAGGGTGTCATAGTTTGCTGCTATGGAAAGCAGAGGACAGAGATATAATCTTATTCATCTATGTCATGTATACTCCACATAGTCCAGATGAAGGCCTAGTAGTATTTTAGTGCTTGGTAAATAATTCTTGACTAAACCAACTAGACAATGAATGCTCAAAAAAGGAAGAGGAAAAACAAATCATATATATTTTTACCTTTTTCCATTTTTATCATGTAGACCAGACCCCCAATACTTAGGAACACCCAGGTACTTCAGTTTATGGGTACGAATCCATTTTTGAACTACAAGTTAAAACAGATGCTTATGATTTTAATTGTTACACATAAATGACAACTTTTTAAAAAATCATTAAGAGCAGAATGTACTTATACATGGAAAAAGAATTCACCTTTATCCATAAAAAAGAAAATGAAGAATACACAGTATAACCAACAAATGAAAAGTACTTTAAAATCAAAGTATTTTTATCAACCTACAAAATTTTGTTATCCTGCCCTTAAATCTGTCTTTAAAATGAAAAATCTAAAAAATGCATTTTTAAAAAGATCTAAACCACAGTACAGTCTTCATCTTGGACCCCTCCAAGATACCAAAAATCCAAATGCTCAAGCCTCTTATACAAAATGTTGCAGTATTTTGCACATAACCTCTGCACATCCTCACATATATTTTAAATCATCTCTAGATTACTTATAATACCTAATATACAAATTCTATGTAGCTCTTATACTATATTGCTTTTTAATTTGTACTATTTCTTATTGTTATATTGTTATTTTGTTGTTGTTGTTTTTTCTTTTTCAAATGTTTACAATCCTTCGTTAGTTGGACCTGGTGATGCAGGACCTGCGGATACTGAGGGTCAACTGCACTTAAGTTGCAGTCAGTCTCTCTAATTATAAAAAAGTTCAACTTGCTTCCACAGAAAAGACTTACTTTTTACACCAACATAAAAGTTTGCCTCAATCTAAATGTCCTCAACCAGGAAATCAAGATCTAGGAGAGATGGATGCCTTCCTTGAGAAATTGCCAAGCTTAATATCATCCTACCAGCAGAATCCCTGGGTTCTTAAAGAAGAGGTGAGGGGAAGACAGAAGGGACAAGAATAACTAGAAGTTCTGCTCTCCACCTTGATATCCGTTTTATTTCCTCAATTATGGCATTCCTCTAGGTTATGTTCTCTAGAATCTAGAAAAATACTCAAAAAGATTTGGAGATCCTTGAGCTATACTCATGAATTAAGGTTAATTCTCAATATTTCCTAAATCTTATATCGTTTATTAACTTTATTCTATATATTGATAGGATGAAATTTTGCCACAACAAACCCATTAAGAAATCAGAATTCTTCACACAGATTGCATTTAAATGGAATTTATAATGCAAAAAATAACAGAGTCATAACATAATGCTCTAAGTTAATAAAACAAAAATAGTGGTCATTTTAAAAGTGTAAACATATGTCTACTGTATTTCTTACTTTGCTCTGGTTTAGCAGCTCGCTGGTAGAACTTTAATTCAGTAAAAAGAGGTCCATTGTCACTGGGTTCCTTAAAACATAAGAGTTAATTAGTACTAGCAATAGTTAAAATTACTGATTATTTTCAATGAGGCTTCAAAAAAAAAACTAACAAACCAATTTTTCTTTCTAAACAATGTAATTTTGATACTTAAGTTTATAATGGTATTAAAGACTAAGTCAAACTCCTTAGAAATGTTGAGGGAAATTTAAGTTCATACATCTAATATTTATTTTAAGTTCCATTTCTATAAGTAATAAATCATACAAAATCAGATATACAGCTCAGTCTTTGCAGAAGTTTAAAAAAACGTTTATAATTTTCATCTTTATTAAGCTTCCCCTTAAGCAAAGATCAGCAACCATGTTAACTGAATCACCAAGAGGCTACAAGACATTTCTGAGATTTAATAAAATTTCAATACCTGATTTAACCAAATAGTGGCAAAATCCCATTCCTTTCCTGTCTCTTATTACTGAATCCTTATTATTCCTGTCTCTTATTACTGAATCCTTATTACAGTTATATTCAGTTCATCAGGACTGGCCTAAACAGACCTTACCACAAAGAAGAGTATGTATGTATCCTGGCTCTCCAGAATGAACGTGCACTGTCCACTTAACTACATCCTTTTCTTTCTGACACTGATTTCTATCTTTTTCAAACCAAAAAGCCCGACAACTTATTTCCCACACAATAATTTAAGTCAAGAAGAAAATGTGATTCATTGCCAGTTGTTTTCTAGCAACTTTACTGGATTACATTAATTTCATATTTTCAGGGATATTAACAAAACTATTTATAAAGAGACATACATTTACAAAAGGTATTTGCACAAAGAAGAAATAAAACCTGACAGGAGTTTTGTCCTGTTAAATAAATACAAAAGAGTATAGAAGATCTTATAATTTTGTGAACTGTTTAAATAGTAAATTTTATCTGACTAAAATTTGGTTAGTATCTATTTAATGTTTGGTATTTTGTGTTATTACCTTGTTTACTAACAATAAGGAAAAATTTTAAAGCAGTGAAAACTTCAAATGAGGAAGCTAACATTTCTAAGCTAATTTTAGGATTATTTTTCTTTTTAGGAGATATGGGAAGAAAATTACTCTGGACAGAATATCTGCACAGCTGAAGTTCAAGCTTCAATAGAGCATTAGGAGAAGTGATAAATGAGGTCCACTACCTTAATTGAGAGAAAACTTGTAGTTTGGGGTTACTGGAGATGCCTTTTACAAACACTTAAATTATGTTCACTTTTTTTCATTCAAGATAACCTTACCTATCACAGAAAGCCACTCTATACACACAGTTCTAGCATCTCAAATTATCTGTAATTCAGAAAAATAGGAATCCCTAGTTAAAACACTTAGAGGAAGACTGATTAGCCAATCTACAACTAAGCAGTACCTAGTTATGAATGAACATTTCACAGCAAATGGGCAGTACGTATAACATAACCTGATCATAACCTGAAAATAAGCTTGCCTTTTTTGTTACAGGTGAGTATACTTTTCAGCCTAGTCTGGAAGAGAGTGGTATACATGGGCTTGGCATGTCATCAACTCCATAAGAAGTAGGAACTAACAAATATATTAAAAATGTGAGTGCTGAATCCTTAATTTATGGACTCAGCACCTCAAGTTTCTCTATAACCTGTGTGTGGCTCCTTTCCTAGCAGCAATGGTAGCTAGATAGACACTTGTGAATGTTTCAAGCCAGTGGCTGAGAATAGGCCTTCACCAGGAGTCCACAGAATCAGTATAAGAACTGGAAATTTAAGAGAAGAAATTATGGTAAAGTTAACTCTCCAAAGGCTAACTTTTGGGCTAGCTCATTAATATAATTCAGGTTTGAAAGGGGTTTTCCTAAGACTAATCCTGGCTTATAGCATCAGTATAAAATTCTGATTTATTCAGTTTCAACATATGGCATATCAGCTTTAATTTTCAAGTTTCCCTTCAGGCAATAATTTATTATTAAACTTATAATAATGAGAATCAACCACATAAACCAGGCTATTGTAATGAAAGCCCCACTACAATGAAGGTTCTTTGAGCTCATTTCATACTTTTTCTAATCCAATAAACTTCCATTATCACAAAATAAAGGAGCTACTTCCTTGGCATTGCACCCCAGCCAAAGCTAGCTTTTCTGTTGAAGAAAATACCTTAACTCATAACTAAAATTTTATTAACATATTTCAAATCTAAAATACTTTGCCAACTCTATAATAGCCAAGATTTAGAAAAGAAATTGGGACTGACATTTTAACTAGAATATCACTAAACGTTTCTTTAAGACTTCTAAGTGTCAAAATGAAGATGACAACAGAAAAAAAATTAAAATGTGATATATTTCAATGGCACCATCTAAAAGCAACTGGCTGCCATTTAAAAATGAAGCTGCACAAAGTTTCTCCTTCCTACCAAAAAATTATGATATATGAATTGAAAATTCAGGTCACTTCTCATAACATCAGTGATGGAAATCAAACATCAGTCTGCAAACTTCTTTCCAGGGAACTCTGAAATACAGATTTTTATCAGTTCACACTGGGAAAGGACCATGATACAATGAACTATTAAGATCCACCATCCAAAAGCCTGACCTCTACCTCCAGTTATGCTCTGACATAACAGCAAAGGGTGAGTGCAATCCAAAGAACTACTAATTTCTTATTAAGTCTGTCAATAAGAAAACACAAAAGAGAATTTCTTTCTCCTTGCATTATCTAATTTATCAATTTATCATTTCTCTCTGCACATTTACTTTCCTGAAATAAAACACAGATAGTATCTCTCAGGAGAGGCAGAGAATTCAAGTTTACTGCATCCTGGGTGTCCCAGCACCACTCTTCCTCAGCTACTCCTGTAGATCAAGCATTATAGCCCCAAACAAAGCCAGAGACCATTATTTGGTAGGAGGGAGAACATTTTGAGTGGGTTCCTAAACATTTACCTTGAATATGTATGTCTTAACTTCACTCCAATGCCAAATATAAGAAATCTGTGGGTTAACTATTTCGAGCTCTTTCATAAAGCAGATAGATACATGTACTATTAGCAGTAACCAAATTTTCTGACAAACCTTCCACATCAAAATGGAAATCCTTACCACAATCACAGTACCTGCAAGCCCCTATTGAAAAAAAGGGTCAGAAAATAAGGATAAACCATGTATGCACACATGATTCCATTTAAAATAATTAAGGTGCTTTGTGTGCCAGATTCTATCAGTGGTTTTCAACCCTGATACACAAAAGAATCACCTAGGAAGCTTTACTAAAAATACCGATACCCAGGCCTTACACCCAGAAATTCTGATTATATTGCACAACTAGGCTTGAGAACTACTGTTTGATATGCCATTTACATTATTAGGTCTAATTTCACATTAAATATCAATGTCTTTATTTCATAAATATCATTTGCAAGTTTTTTCTCTAAAGATAAAATACATGCTCACTTTAGAAAATTTGGAAACATTTTGGTATATTTTCTTCATATATAGCCATTTTATAAAACGATCTTCATACTATATACAGAGCTTTGTACCCTGCTTTTTTTAGTAATTATGAAATCCCCCCCCCAAAGAGTAGTATGTGTTCTTTGAAAACATGATCTTTAACAGCCCCTAATGTTTTAAATGGCAAGTGTTCATAAACAGTTCTGATTTTAACTCTGGAAAGAACTGATACTCATTTTACATATTTGTATTTGATGAACCATTTCAACTTTTAATACTATAAAGCTGTGAGAAGGCAAATTATGAATGGCCTACTACTCTCAGTGACGCAGACAAGAGAGGAAAGTAAGTGGCATCAGGAAGTTGAGAAGTAAATGAATAAAGACAGCAGTAAAAAGGTGGTAGATAATTATGGCTAAAATATATTCCAAAAAATAAATAAAATAAGCATTTAAAGACTTCATAGCGAAAAAATAGTTTAAAACAAGGTCTTATCAAATAAGTCAAAATCTACTTAGGAGGATAAAATAAACGTACAAAAAAACTAAAAACTAGTGGCATAAGGAGGATATTAGCATATGAAATTGTAAAACAAATGTTAATACAAGGAATGCCGCAGGAGTTTTAAGGAGTCCAGAAAAGACAGCTATCAGAGGAGAAAGAAGCAAACAGCAGTTACTAAATTTCCCCTTCAACGGGAAAGAAAAAGTCATAATATGTTGTTTTGTTTATGGCATTCTTCCAGGATCACAAACTGTAACATTGAAAAAGTTACTGAAATATTAAATGTAAAAGAGAAATCAACGGAATATTTATCACTGTCCTAATTACAAAGAGAAGTAATAAAGGATAATAGAAAGAGAACTAAATTAGAAGACAGGAGATGCAGACTACTGAACTAGGTTTGATTAAATGGCCTTAGAAATGTAATTTGTTACCTTAAGCATATAGAAAATATCTCTTCCTATCCATTTTTTTCCTTAACTGTATATAAGTTTTTAAAAAGGCAGTAAAAGTGAAGTTACATTGAATAACAACTGAAATACTTCTGATTACTCACAATAAAGAATAATATCATAATTCCAAGACAAAACACAACTTAAAGAAGCTCAGGTTATACAGAACAAAAAAAAAAATGATTATACACCAGTTCCACCTATAAGTTAAGGCACTGGCAGGCTTTCTTTCCGAGACATGGAAACGTTTATACAAATTAGCCAACTATAATGGGTCAGAGGTAACCATATCATTTGAACCTCAAGATTATGAGATGTCATAAGGAGACTTGCTTCCTTCCCACAATAGAAACCTTTTGACAATCCTAAGAAGAAACTAATCTTACCCACAGATTTTAATATTTTAATGTGTCATATCAAAGACAAATGCAGATAATATTCTGCAATTAAATGCAAATGATCCAATTTAATAGTAAGAACTTTAGTTCTTCTGATTTAGCTGCAAGCTGACTATTTCAAAAGGAATGTTATTCCACAAATCAGAAAGAAGAAAAATCCAAAATAAAAGGGAATCAAGAAAAGGGAAATGACAGGAGAAATAAAGCATTGACACACAACTTTAAAGTTATCACTTCACTTCCGCTTCCCTGCAGGGGAGAAGCACTGGGACTCAATTAGCCTCTCACCATAAACAAACATAAAGGTGGATAATAAAAATAGCAATTACTATTTTCAAAAATTAGATAATAGGCAGTACAGGAGTGTGACCCCTAAAAGATAGGAAACAAAGAGATCCCCACGACAGCCCCAGCTTTTTTTCTTGGAAGCACTAGGAGTAAAAAGGAAGAGACTCAAGAGACCAAACATAGCACACCAACAGGCTTTGGTACCGAAACCAAATAATGAGATTAGAAAATTTTGAACTAAGAAACACTGGGGGGAAAATTAAAGACGAATATCCCTCATGAAATCCTTAACAAAATATTAGCAAATCAATTCCAGTCTTATGTAAAAAATATAATACACCATGACTAAGTCGGGTGTATGTTAAGAATACAAAGTTAGTTCAGCACTCAAATATCAATCAATGTAATTGCCACATTAACAGAATAAAGGAGAAAAATCCTGTGATCCATCTCAATAGATGCAGAAAAAGCATTCAAAAAATGAATAGGCAAACTACGAACTGGGAGAAAATATTTACAACACATACATCTCAAAAAGGACTTGTATCCAGAAAAATTCTTACTACTCAATTATAAAAAGCAAACAAAGCAGTTTTTTCATTAAAAAAAAAAAAAGAGGAGACACTCCACAAAGGAAAATATATGAATGACCAATAAGCACCAAGAAAAAGTGCTCGAAATGATTAGTCATCGAGTAAATGCAAATTAAAACTACAATGAGACACAGCTACACACCCACATAATGGTTAAAAAACAAACACACAAAACTAACCCCACCAAATGTTGGAGTGGGCACAGAGCAATCAGAACTCTCATACGTTACTGGCCGATGTGTAAAATGGCACAACCACTTTGGAAATTTATCTGGTACTTTCTTATACATTTAAATATATACCTTCCCTATAAACCAGCAATTCTACTTCTAGGTATTTACCCAAGAGAAATAAAAACCTATATCCATGAAAACACTTGTACAAGAATGTTTATAAACACTTTATTCATAACAGCCAAAAACTGGAAACTACTCAAATGTCTACCAACAGAGAAATAAAAAACAAATGACTGATACACCAACAATATAGATGAATCATTAAAATATCATGCTGAGCATAAGAAGACAGAGACAAAATAGTATATACTGTATAATATCATTTATGTAACATTCTAGACCAGTAATAACTCACCCAGGCAAAAAAATTCAGACAAGTGGTTGCCTTCAAGTGTGTGGGGGAAGTAGGGGCTTGACAGGAAAAGGACATAAAAATTTTTATTACACATATATGTTTAATATTAAACATATTAATTAATATTAAACATATTAAATTTAATATTAAACATATATGTGTAATCAAAATTATGCCTCAATAAAATGTTTTTAAAAATCAAGAAAACAAATGTTCAACATCTCTAATCATCAGGGAAATTCAAATCAAAACCACAATGAGATATCACTTAACTCCAGTGAGAATGGCCTTTATCAAAAAGTCCCCAAACAACAAATGCTGGCATGGATGCGGAGAGAGAGGAACACTCCTCCACTGCTGGTGGGACTGCAAACTAGTTCAACCTCTGTGGAAAACAATATGGAGATACCTCAAAGCGATACGAGTAGATCTACCATTTGATCCAGCAATTCCACTACTCGGCATCTACCCAAAAGAACAAAAGTCACTTTATGAAAAAGACACCTGCACTCGAATGTTTATAGCAGCACAATTTACAATTGCAAAGCTATGGAAACAACCCAAGTGCCCATCAATTCATAAATGGATTAATAAAATGTGGTATATGTATACCATGGAATACTACTCAGCTTTAAGAAACAATGGTCATATAGCACCTCGTGTATATTCCTGGATACAGCTGGAACCCATTCTACTAAGTGAAGTATCTCAAGAATGGAAAAACCAGCACCACATGTACTCGCCAGCAAATTGGTATTAACGCGGATCAACACCTAAGTGGACATATAGGAGTAACATTTATCGGGTGTCGAGAGGGTGGGAGCAGGGAGGAGGAGGAGTATATACAACCACAACGAGTTAAGATGTGCTACGTTTGGGGGATGGACATGCTTGAAGCTCTTACTCAAGGGGGGAGGGGGCATGGGCAATACAAGTAACCTTAACACTTGTACCCCCATAATATGCTAAACTAAAAAAATAAATTAAAAAAAATCAAGAAAACAATTCAGGTCCAAAAACACTGGCTCCAAAGCAGACAAATTTATTTTTTTTTAAAAGAGTAAAAACAAAACAAAATAAAAAACTCAAGTTGGGGTAATCCTAATTCCTAAATTTCTGTATCCTTTAGGAAAAAAAGTAGGAAGGAATTACATGTTAATTTGCCCAAATAACACATCCTATTACGTCTTTTATTTAACAAAACCATGTTCTCCATATGTATCAAAGAACTTTGAGGAAGGGAAGTGGCAAATGTTGGTAAGCAACAAGATGCATAATTTATTTTAAAAATAGTAGTTAAAATGACTTTTAGTTTTCCAATATATAAATTGACCTGGCTATTCAAAGTATGCTTATGTCAGACAGGATGCTGCCAATCTTTACTCATTACAACTAATTTCAACATTAGTGTAGCAAAGAAGGTCTAACAACCACTCTTAAATAATTTAACTTACTAAGACAGAGGAGAAGGGAAGAAAATTGGGAATAAACAGAAAGAAAAAATTGACCAAGTGGAAATCCAGAAGTAAATATAAAAGAAAATACAATAAAATTATATTAAATTAGCATGGTCTTACAGGACATAAATATAAAAAGCATTTGTAAATAGCTGAAATTTTTTAAGTGAGCTGAATATTTTTATTCCACATCTTCATACCTCTATGCTTTCATTCATTTATCACCAAATACCAGTGCCATTCTAATTCAAAAGAGGAGAAGGATTTTTTGAACTCAAGTTATTTAAAACCATAAGGCTATTTTTATGTCTGATTAAATATTTATAACACATTATTTAAAATGTAACACTTTATGGTTTAATTATTCTAGTTATCAAAAAGGATGTTTTACAAAACAAATACTATAACAAATCAAAAGAAAAAATTAGATAAAATATTTTCTTACCACTTTTACAACACAGGGTGCGTCACTGCCAACTGATTTTGAAGAATTTGTATCAGCTGTTTAAGAAAGTAAAATATTTACTATCAGAAAAAGTACCATTATTATAAATATTATATTAATATTTAGGTCTATATATCTGTTACCCCTTGATAGAATAAATTTTATTTCCCAAATATGTGTTTTAGGATATCATTACAGTATATTTTATCAATTTTAAGACTTACCCCCTCCCCATATTTTAATATGTCTGAAATTAGAATGGATCTTACAGTCTCTGGATTCTTAAATTTGATCACTGATTAAGTATGAGAAACTTTGAGTTAAAGTTAAGATACCTTGAATTTGAAAGTACTCTTTGCCTTTGATATGCCAGTGTATAATGTGAATTCCCCAGAAGATAAATGATATAATTTCTTAAATTTAACAAACTATGGAATCCTTTTAAGAAGGAGCATCTGGAGGGTAAAAAATGAGGGAGTTAAAATTCCAAAAAGCACTAGTTTGGTAAAAATGTATCTGAACCAACAGTTCAGGATTTTGGCACTAGAACTTTTACCTGCCACCCAGAATATTTTTAATGTGACTGTCACTTTGTTTCATGCAAATAAAGAAGCACAGTTGTCCTGGAATAACGAGTTAGTAACATAAGGTTGCCCATCTTCATTAAACAAATATTTTCCAAGTATCTACTATATGCTAGTTTCTAAGAAATAGGAATTTTGCAGTAATCAGGAAAAAAGAGTAAATCCTTACTCTTACAAAGCTACATTTCAGAGGCAGGCTGCAGGCAACAAATAAAACATGAAGTATGTTTGATGGCACTAAGTGGAGTGCCATCACTCCACAATTTTTCCTATGGAGGAAAAATTAAGCAGAAAAGGAAGGTAGGCAGTGGTAAGAGAGAAGTCACTGACAAGGTGTGATTCAAGCAGTGGTCTGAAGGAAGTGAGGGAATAAGCCATGTTAGTACCTGGGTGAAGAGCACTCCAGGCAACCGGCACAAAGGCCCTGATGTGAGAATGTGTCTCACATGTCCAGAAAGCAAGGAGGCTAAAGTAGTTGGAGTGGGGTAGAAGAGGAGACAGATTAGAAAAGCATCAGGGAACAAACACAATGGGCTTTATATTATACAGATCACATAAAGGTTTTGGCTATTACTATGAATGAGATGGGGAGCCACTGGAAGGTTTTGAGATGAAGGTTGGCAAAGTCAGACCTTGATTTTTAAACACTTCTTTGGGCTGCTTTGCGGAAAATGGAGCATAGGGGCAAGTGCAGAAGCAGGTAAATCAGTTGGGAAGCCATAACAGTGCTCCAGGTACATCAGCTTTACCTCAATAAAGTTCCCCAAAATTTTCAAAGGCATAGTACAAAAATAATGTACAATATTCCATTAATAACTTTATTTTAAATACATTTTGAAATTATTTATTAGACATATGGGGTTACATAAAATATATAATTAAATTTTTTTAAAAAGCATCACATACAAAGATCAAGAGGCAAAGGGCAGAAGGATGGCTGAAGCATAGATTTTGAGACAATAAAAGGGATGAAGATAAAAGTTACATATGAGGGGTCTCATATGCCACTCTTAAAAATTTGGCACTTTATTCTCAGGTCACTGAGGAGCCATTAAAGAGTTTTAAGCAAGATAATCACAAGAACTAATTAGTCTGCTAGGTCACTCAAGGCATACTATGAACAATGGGTTGCAAGAGAACAAGACTGGGACAGAGAAGATTCAGTGCTACAGTGAGTCTAGATAATGACCAGACCTGGGACAGTGGCAGCAAGGATGGAGAGAAACAAATGATCTGAGAAGTCCCACAGGTAAAGCAAAAGGACTAGAAAAGGTACAAGGGATGTTAGTGAAGGAATACTCAAGAATGCTTTCCCAGTTTCTGGCTTGACGGGTGGTCCTTCTTTCAGACAATCCTCTCCTGATCATAAGCATATCAAGAGGTGGAAGAAGATGACGTAAGTTTACTCATACCTGTAGAATATCCAAGTAGAGATCACTTGTAGGCCACAGGCTATGGCCTACACTCAGGAAATCAAGTCCTAGACTACAGATAAAAGATATGGAATCAACAATAAAAGGACAGTAACAGAAGCCATGATATTCAATGAGATCACTCAGATAGAATATATAGAATGAAAAGTGAGCCAAGGAAGGAAAGCTGGAGAACAGAGGTACCTACAAAGATGACCAAGTACAGGCAGGAAAGTAGTAAGAAAATCAAAGGGAAAGGTATGCTATCATGGAAGACAATGGAAGCAATTTTTATGAGAAGGAAAGATAAAGAGTATCAAATGGTACAGAAAAAAATCCAAACAAAATTCAAAAGCAATCTTTTTAATTCACTCACAGAAATTGCTGATGATCTTGAATATAGCTATTTCAAAGTATCACCAATGACACAGAAAGAGAAACTGGAGGTAGTGATATTCAAAGCAAATCCCTCATTTTATAGATTGGTCAACCAAGATTTACAAAAGTAAAGTTTTATTACAGAGATCTGTCAAACCTATTACAGAGATCTGTCAAACCATAGGATATTAAAGACACTTAGTATTATATGGCACTTTATGATGATAAATACAAATAAAACAGCTAGCACATATACAAAGCAAGTTCTAAATTTGCAAAAGGTTACAAAAGCAAATTAATGTAAATGAAGAACCTACTAGTTTAGAGACAAATTCCCATTAATATGGGATGTCATTAGTCCATACATCCTGTAGCAGAGACAACTTATATAATCTACCATCTCCTCTAAATCACAAGGTCAAAAATATATGCCTGGCTAATATAGCTACTACGCTTTCTTGATTTCCAAGGATTTTCACTTTAAGTCAGATACAGTCTAGCTCACTGGAATGGGCTTGGCCCTAAATAAAACCAGAGAATCAATACATATTTCTGAAAGAAGTGTGCCAATGACCTACAGGAAGCATATGTGTAAACTATGGAAAAGCTCTGGATTTTAAGCTATGTTTCATGAAGACAGCCCTAGAAACTGCAGCTGACCAACTGCAGCCCACTGGTCCTGGAAGAAGTGGGACCCCTTCCTGAGTAAGAGGAGTGCTCTTTTATCAATGTTAGTGGTTCTCAAACTTTCGCATGCACCAGAATCATCTGGAGGACCTGTTCAAACACACTGCCAGCCCTCTTCCTACAGTTTCTGATTTGTAGGTCTATGGCAGGGCCCAAGAATTTGCAGTTCTAACAAGTTCCAGGTAACACTGACATAGCCACATTATTAATATGCCAAGTAAGATGTTATTTAAAAGAAAAAAAAGAGTTCCATTGCTAAAAATAAAAATTCATAAACTTCTATGGCAGAAATCAAATAATTAAACTGATATTTGAGGTAGAGGGAATACAGAATGGAAAAGTTAGAGAGAAATATCAGAAGCAAACATGAATTGCAATTGTATCACTACTAATATTCTTGGTAATATTAGACAGCTTTAGAAGCCATCAGGCAAAATATTTTTTAAATCAATAATTTCAGGGTTCCACAATGGGTTCCTAAAAATTTCAGAATAAGTACACTAGTTAACAGCACATTTAATCAGCCCTAATATGCAGTTTCTAGGTAATTCTCCTAATTCCACCATGAAGACTATTAGGTTTGTACAGAAAGAAAACAGATACACACCTGTAAAAGATCCACAAACCTCCAAATCAGACAAACATGAAGGGAATAAATCTCAATTAGATGAAGGTAGGAGAGAGAAGATGTACATGGCTTTCTTTGGGTCTCAAGAGATTAAGATTATATAGAATATCTTAAAAATCTAAAACCATAGTGCTCACTAAAATCAACATTACGGATATTTTATCCTCTCTTTCTATTGTGATTAAATTACCAATCATTTTTTCCATTCCTATGTCAGAGATGCACTTTGGCTTAATAATACAATATTAGGTTGACTGTAAATTATTAGGAACATCCTGTAATTGCTCATAATTGCAAAACCATTTTGATAAGAAAGCATATAAATCTTTGGGTTGATAACTAGAAGCAGTCACACACTTACCAAGATATATACAGCCAAAGCCACCTTGTCCAATGGGTAATCCCACTTTCCATTCCTTTTTTGCCATGTCAGTTATTATCTCCCCAACTGCAAATTGTTCTGCAAGATGTCTCTTTGCAGGGCCCTGTCTTCCAGACTGAGCTGCTTTTACACGAGGCATTTTCACTACAATACAAAACAAAGCAACACGCAGAATTATAATCTTAGAAGTATTCAAAACATTTTTCCCTAAAGAGAGCTTCTGTACAACAGAGATGTTCAAATTCATACTTACTCCAAAACTTAAATAAAGGACATCTGTTAATTCTGATTTATAATGGCTCAAATCCTATTTGATTATCTCTTAACTTTAGAGAGGAAACAATAAATAAAACAATATATGCAATTATTTTCAAGGAAATATTTAGGCTTAAGTTCCAGTGGCATAAGATCTATGACCAAAAATGCTATTTAACAAACAAAACAAACAAACAAAAAAGAATTACTCTATGAAGTTGAGGGGACAGGTACATCCAATTAGAATGCATGCTTTATATTGATGCAATGAGGAGTTTATAAAGGTCAATACTGATGTGACAAGTACACAGCACAGAATAAAAACAAGGCAATTAGACACAGGGGGAGCGGGCAAGTGTTCTTAGGACATGACAGTATATGCTTTACTTGGTTTCCCATCCATCCCCACAACTCTGTGCAAACTGCATTATCCCATTTTATAGATGAGGAAATTAAGGCCCAGCAAGCTAGCAAGTGATGGAACTGTTGTTCCATCACAACAATTTACACTGATGATTGCCTGGCTCCAAAGCCTCACCAACATGCTCCACAATTACAGAAGTCACTGTAAGGAAGCACAGCCTTCAAGAGTGACAAGGAGAGGCCGGGCGCGGTGGCTCACGCCTGTAATCCTAGCACTCTGAGAGGCCGAGGAGGGCGGATTGCTCAAGGTCAGGAGTTCAAAACCAGCCTGAGCGAGACCCCGTCTCTACCATAAAAAAAAAAATAGAAAGAAATTAATTGGCCAGCTAATGTATATAATATAAAAAAAATCAGCCGGGCATGGTGGCGCATGCCTGTAGTCCCAGCTACTCGGGAGGCTGAGGCAGGAGGATCGCTTGAGCCCAGGAGTTTGAGGTTGCTGTGAGCTAGGCTGACACCACGGCACTCACTCTAGCCTAGGCAAGAAAGCGAGACTCTGTCTCAAAAAAAAAAAAAAAAAAAAGAGTGACAAGGAGAAACTGCAGCGGTTTAGTCATTTGGGTTCACAAAAAAAGCAAAGCTGGTGACAAACAGCATTTCTACACTTCCTTTGTCACTAAGTATCCTGTAGGAGATGAATCTTGATTAATTTTTCCCACTTACATATAAGTTTAACATAACATTTGGGGAAAGCAGTATTTTACTGTGAAAATAGCACTGGACTGAAATCAAAAGACCTGGATACCAGGTATAATACCAGTTAGTTGAATAATCTTGACAAAGTCACTTCACGCTGGGCTTTAAGTGTCCTCAAGTGTAACTCACTTTATTGAGTGAAGGAACTCACTGTGTGTTTGTATGCATGCCCATGTGAGCAGTGTGTGTGCTGTGCGATTTCAAATTCTCAGTTCTACAAATGTTAACTTTAAAAGATTTCAAACAAATATGTTAGGATTCTATAGTTTCCTAAATACACAGTAGAGACATAGTAAAAAAAAAAAAAAAAAAAAGGAAGTTGATAAGAATTATTAAGACAGTCTGCAAAATTTGAAATGGCTATTCAGATGAAAGAAGTTCATTGTTTGGTTTTAAGCCTAGATATGCTACACGCATACATACTACACTTGATTAGAACTTTTCAGCAAATATCATCACTCCAAAAAGAGCCATATATGCAAATGTTCTTTATTAATTGATTAGGAATTTTTAAATCAAATTTTTTTCCTACAGAATACTAATGCATCTTTGCTATCTAAATCTTCTCTAATTTAACAAAAACACTTCCAAAATGAATGTGCCCCTGTCACTTCTTACCAATTAATTTTCTTAATTAATGTTTTTTAATCATGGTAAAATCTTGCTGAATGGAATTTCAGTGTCAACCAAGATAGCCCAGATTCAAAACACCAAAAAAAGTAACTTTAACACCTTTGGCAGTGAACCAAGTAAGAAGACAAAACAAAAGAAAAAAAACTAAAACACACGGTATTTCCAAATACTAAAAATGAATGCCTTTTGAATTTCACCCAACATTAGCAAGTCACCAGAGTAATCTCCTATTTGATTGTTTATTTATGATAGTCAAAACAGTTTAAAATAAGTGAAAAATATGTTTTCTTATCTTTCTACAACTCAAAATAGTGACTGGGCAATCTTTGTGTTTTTCTGGAATTCTTTTCCAGAAGTGATAAAAATACAATATTATAAATGAAATATTCTGGTTTAGCATCAACTCAATATAAATTGTGGTCAATAAAAAGTGTTTTTCCTCCAAATAAAGCTGTTTGCTTTTATTTTTAGTCTTAATCCCGTGGCCAACTAATTGAAACTAAGTATAATAATTAATTAAGGCTTGGACTGACTTTCTTGCCTAGAAATAGTCCCACAGAATGGCCTCATCACCATCAGTCTACTGAACACTCATAAATCACTGCTCCTGAAGGTTAACCTCAAACACAGTGAGGGCAGCAGCAACGTTGGTTAATCTCCCTGAATTCCCCTAAAGACCCAGATAGGACAAATAGAGACCAAAACTCAAAACTCATGAATAACATCTACAACAAAATTGGGGACAGTATCTCCTATCTCAACAAATCCCAAAATTTGAGTAGGTGAAGACAAACCAGATGGCAATAAGATCTCTGTGGTACCAGGAACTGTAAAGAAAGGAGCAGAAGTATGGTGCCTTTGATGAACCTAAGAATCCCAAAATTACCAGGGGCTACTTCTTAGAAAGAACAAAGACACTGGGAGAATAGAAGTTGAAACAAAAAGGCTTGCAAGGGGTGGGTGATAAAGTGTGAAGAGGCTAGAGCACGCTGGACTATACAACTCTCAAAACCAATCAACCAAGACCCCTCCCAGGTCAAAGCCTCAGGCTGAGGAGAAACTGCTCCAATGGACTCCAAAGTGAGCATCACAAGGATAATATAAATAAAGGAACAAGAAAGTTCAAATGAAAGTGGATCTGTGAGTTAGCCTCCATTATTTTGGAACACTACACAAAAACAAATAAAGAAGAGGTTCTAAAGAATGACATAAAGTCTCCCTGAACCACATCGTCTAAAACTAATTGCATAGGAAACATGAAATTCAGCAAAAGGATGGAGACCTAATCCCTCACAAAGTGGATGTATTCTTAAGAAAGAAAGAAAAGCCCATAAAGAAAAAACATACCTCCCAAAAGGCTGAAAGCTTTCAAAACAAGCTAAAATACATTTTATATACAAAACTAACATGACTCAGAAAAATTCAGAAGTCAGGTGATAAAAAATTTAAAATGAAAGGGAAAATCTTTTCAGAAATGAAGACCAAATGAGAAAGAATATAGACTGAATAAAATTCATAAAAATAACTTAAGAGAAATAGAAAGTGAAAAGAAAAAAAAAAACCCAAAAATCAAAAAGGACCAAAAAACTTTTAAAAGAAAATCACAAATTTAGAACACAGGAAAAAAAGCTGATATTTTATATATATATATATATATATATACACACACACACACACACACATACACACACATACATATATATATATATGTCAAAGAGAATGAAAGCAAAGAAACAGAATATTAAAAATGCTTAAATGCTCACCCAGAATAAAGGCGCAAAAAAAAAAAAATAAAAAAAATAAAAATGCTTAAATTCAAGAAAACTTTCATGAACTTAAAAAAAAAGATGTGAAACTACATATTGAAAGGTCACACAACATACATGAGAAAAATCGACACAGAATGATCATCAGTAAGACACAGGCTAATAAAATTACTGAACTTAATAGTAAAAGAAAATTCCCTTTGAGCATCCTGGCCAAAAAGCAGGTATTTTATAAGAGAAATAAAATCAAACTGTCATCACTTTGACAGGAACACTTCATGCCTAAGAAAAGGGAAAGTGACTAAAGGGAAAAAAAATGAACCAAAAATTTTATACCCAGCTAAATTTCAAGTACAAAGACGATAATGTGTTATCAACATGGAAAAATAAGAATCTACTAAAGAACAAGCCTAAGATATCCAAAATATTCATAGAACTGAGATTCAACAACAGTTACAAAGGAGAGGATAGAGTATACGATGGGCATATGTTCTGCCAATGTAGATATAGTATAACTATAAAAAAATGGGATAACATATGCAAAAAAAACAACTTTCCAGTAATCATATTGTTCAATACTTAGTTCTGTTAACTAAGGCATAAATGTGCATAAATGTTGAATAATGCAAATGAACAATTATGATATTCTTATTCTGTCATTCCCTTACGTCCTTAAACTCAGGATTCAAATATAAAGAAAGTAGATACAGATGAAAGATAGAAGCGGTACAGTTAAAAATGTTGTACTTGGAAATATTTTAATTCAGAAGGTATTTATCTTTTACAAAAAGCATACACATACCTACAGAGACATACTCTTTGTTTTTTTTTTTTGGTTTTTTTTTTGAGACAGAGTCTCACTTTGTTGCCCAGGCTAGAGTGAGTGCCGTGGCGTCAGCCTAGCTCACAGCAACCTCAAACTCCAGGCTCAAGCGATCCTACTGCCTCAGCCTCCCGAGTAGCTGGGATTACAGGCATGTGCCACCATGCCCAGCTAATTTTTTCTATATATATTAATTGGCCAATTAATTTCTTTTTATTTGTAGTAGAGACAGGGTCTCGCTCTTGCTCAGGCTGGTTTCGAACTCCTGACCTGGAGCAATCCACCCGCCTTGGCCTCCCAGAGTGCTTAGGATTACAGGCATAAGCCACCACACGCCCAGCCTACCCTTTGTATTAACAAATGGAAAAACACCCCCTGCTCATGGACTGGTAGAATCAACATCGTAAAATGTCCATACTGCCCAAAGTGATTTACAGATTCAACGCAATTCCCATCAAAATACCAGTGTCATATTTCACAGATCTATAAAAAATAATCCTAAACTTCATTTGGAACCAATAAAGAGCCCATATAGCCAAAGCAGTCTTAAGTAAAAAGAACAAATCTGGAGGCATCACATTACCTGATTTCAAATTATACTACAAGGCTATAGCAACCAAAACAGCATCGTATTGGTATAAAAGCAGACACACAGACGAATGAACGGAAGAGAACAGAGAACCCAGAAATAAAACCATCTACTAAAACCAACTGATCTTTGACAAAGCAGACAACAATATACCCTAGGGAAAGGAAGCCCTATTCAATAAACAGTGCTGGGAAAATTGGATAGCCACATGTAGAAGAATGAAACAGGATCCCTATCTCCCACTATACACAAAAATTAATTCAAGATGGATTAAAGACTTAAATGTACAAACACACACACACACACACACACACACACGGAGTACTACTCAGCCATAAAAAGGAATGAAATAATGTCATTTGTAGCAATGTGGAGGGAACTGGAGACCATTATTCTAAGTGAAGTATCTCAGGAATTGAAAACCAAATACCATATGTTCTCACTAATAAGTGGGAGCTAATAGATGGGTACACACAGGCACAAAGCAGGAGGATAGATGTGGGATGAAAACTTACCTATTGAGTACAATGAACACTAACTATTCTGGTGATGGGCACACTAAAAGCCCTGATTTAAGCATTATACAAGATAGCCTTGTAACAAAAATACTTGTACCTCCTTAATTTTTTTATATTAAAAAAAAAAATCAGGGAATTTACATTGGTACAACCCATAAAGCAAGTTCAGATTTCACCATTTGTACATAAACTCATTTGTGGATATGTATAGTCCTATGCAATTTTATCATGTGTGGACTGTATAACCGCCAGTACAATCAAGATGTAGAACTGTTCCACCACAAGACTCTGGTGTTATCCCTTTAACCACACTCACCCTTTCCTCATCCCTAACTCCTGCCAACTACTAATCTGTTCTTTATAATTTTGTTATACCAAGAATGTTACATAAACAGAATCAAACAGTATGTAACGTTTTGAGATTGGGTTTTTATACTCAGCATGATGCCCTTGAGATCCATCCAAGTTACCATGTGTACCAATAGTTCATTCTTTTTTATCCCTGAGTAGTATCCCATGGCATGGATATGCCACAGTCTGCTTCACCATTCACCCACTGATAGACATTTCAGTTCTTTCTGAAATGTTGCTATGAACAACAACAACAAAAATTGCCACTACAATGAAGTAGTCTTGCCAAAAAATAAATAATAAATTGAACCTGATCTGATCAAGCCTACCAATTCCCAAGATATGAATGAAGAGAACAAAAGAACATGATAAACTATAACATAAGAATGCAAACAGCAAAACCCTGACTGTGGGAAACCTTATAATCCCATTTTTTCAGCAAATTAAGGGGGGAAAGGAAGAATGGGAGAGAAGAAAAATAGATTTTAAAAGACTTAAAACAATATATCTAAAACAAAACGAAATCAGGCAAATCTAAACCACAGCATTTAAGAATGCACACTTGAGTGGTAAAACTATAAAGAAAAACAAGGAAGTGATTGCCATCAAAGAAGTTATTCTGAGGAAGAACATGAAAGTTATGATTCAGTTGGAACACATGGCAGGTAAAGTTTTACTTCTCGACAAGTACCTTATAACGACTCATTAAGTCTGTATTTGCTTAAGTTTTCTGAATTGTGCAATATTTTATAATTTTAGACATTCAAAAATTACTGCTATAATTAACAATCACCAAGGGATCAAAAGTAGAAATGTTCTCATACTCAATGAGCTTGCCCAATCCCCCTGCTGATAAAAAGAGAAAGAAAAACAAGACACCTAAGCAAAATCTGTACTTTGTTTCCTGTCAACTACTGGTAACTTTTGCCTATTTTTCTTTTGGATTACTAGTCTGCCTTTTCATTTATAGGCACTTCTTATATATTGTGTATTAAAGAAATTAGCTCATTGTATTACAAAGAGCCTTCCCAATTTGTCTTTGGACACTTTACTTTTAGCTTTTCAATTTTATCTCACCCTTAAAAAGACCTCCCCACAATCTTTTTTTAATATCACGTTTTCTTTAGTTATCTTAGGGTTCATTTTTTACCAGAAAATTCTGACCTGCCTATACTTATTTTGGTATAAGATATGAGGTAGGAATCTAGCTTTTTCCAAATGGTTATCTAGTTTTGTTTTGTTCTTTTTTTTCTTTTGCAGTCATTCATATTCATTAAAGGCATCTGGTGTTCAAAGAACTTAAGTATAACACATCACACCAACCCAAGTAAACCAAGTACAAAAAATATTCATATAAAGGTGTTCACATGTAGATCCTAGATTACCAATTTCTGAAGAAAGGAGGACGAGGGAGGAAGAAGGAGAGAGAAGGAAGAAGGGAGGAGGAAGGCGGGGGAGGGTTGGAGGAAGGCAGGAGAATGAGGAGGAGGAGGAAAGAAATAGAAAAATAGATTCAATTAACTAGCATTTGAAACTAACTTTGTGCTTGGATTAAAACCTCCCTCACACCTGCTCCATAGGCGTGTTAAGAAGTCATTGAAATATACTGTTGTTCTGATAGAGTCCACTATGACACAAATATTTCTTTAAAATATATCTAAAACTCCCTCCTGCGGCTCCTAATGGAAAAAATATGTGCAGGCTACAATCTTAGGTGGCCTTGGGAAACTGATGGCCACCTCAGTGCTCAAGGGATAATTCTGCTGGGTCCAAGGGGGGCTGATGATAGATTAATAAATATTTATTCAATAAATAATCTTTTAAAATGTTAAAAAACATAAAAGACTTAAATATAGCTAGTATCCCATATACTTAAAATAACTATTCCCAGAAAAAAATATTATACTTGTTGGCTGTTATGTTTTAGTGTGTTGCTGAATTCTATTTATTAATATTTTATTTAGAACAAAACTGATATTCATGAGAATAGTCTGTAGTTTTTTTCTGGTATATGTGTGTGTGTGTGTATATATATATATATATATATATATATCTGTTTGAATATCAATATTATGCTCATTTCATAAAAAGATTTTGGAAGCTTTTCTACTTTTACCACAATCTAAGAGTTTAAACAGCATTTGAATGATCTATTCCTGAACGGTTCTGAAGACCTCAACCGTGAAAAGTCTGACAATCCCAGGTGTTGGTAGGGAGGTGGAATAATGTGAATTCTCATACACTGTATACTGTTTCAAACACTTTGAAAGTCTATCTAGCAGTACTTGCTAACTAACCCAGCAATTCAGCATAGATAGATAGATAGATAGATAGATAGATAGATAGATAGATAGATAGATAGATAGATAGATAGACAGATAGAGATAGATAGATAGACAGATAGATAGATAGATACCTCTAAGAAAAATGAAAATTTGTCCACCCAAGAACATGCACAAGAAAAAGAATGATGATAGTAGCTTTATTCAACAGCCACAATCTGGAAAAGCACATGTCCATCAGCTAGGAAATGAATATAATAAAACAAATGAATCTACAAACACTGTGTTGAGAAAAAGATGTGCCACACAGAAGAGCACACACTACATTTTGTTTATATGAATTTCAACAATAACCAAAACTAATCAAGGGTGATAGAAGTCAAAAAGCGTACACTATTTGAGGGAGGAAATGACTATGAGTTGGAAGAAAGAGGCTGCGATTGGAAGGTACCTAAGGATCTGGTAACATTCTATATCCCAATTTTGGTGTTTAAACTGTATATTCACTTTGTAAAAATTAATCAAGTTGTACACTTATGATTTATTTCATCCTGTTTATTATTTATGTAAAATTAACACAGTAAATTATACGAATTACAAGTGTAACAGTGAGGTTCCATTCAGGAGATAAAAAAAAAACATAAGTAATTAAAACAGGAATATTTAATATAAAAATTATTAATTTGTAAAAGATGGTCAACTACCAAAAGGAGTAAAAGACAACTCTAAGGAATATAGGACTAGCAAATTCAGGGAGCAATTACTATCTCTGAGGCTAAGGAAAGCATCCAAGAAAGGAACACTTACTGGACAGGCTGTGGTGACAGCCCACTGGGTGGCAGAGTAGCTCTCTGGAGTGCCAGTGGGGCAGGAGCTGCTCCACAGGCATCTGCCCACTGGAGCACTCTGGGTGGTGGCGGAGGAGAGAAACAAGTTGCCTATTGGGGTGCTAACAAAACTTACAGGAGAGTAAGCACGGCTGACAGCCACACCTCAGAAAGAAAGAAAAACAAGCACACTGCAACAAGACAAGCCCCTTCCTCTGCTAAGTCTTGCTGTACATCTTCTTTACCTTCTAATGACAAAATCTAACATTATTCTGGAAAGGAAAAATGTTTACAGGTTCTAGCTCAAGTATCACAAATAGAACAAAGACTGGTGAATTTGGGGTTGAGAGGCAATAAATTGATAACTTGCACAAGTGTAGACAGATAAATGTTTACATATGTATATATACCTATGCGACAACCAAGATTAGAACACCTTAATCACATCATAAAGTTCCGTAGTTCCCTTTTCCACCAACACCCATTCTTGTTCTTCCAAACACAGGCTCCTTAATGTACCTCTCAGTGTGTGCCACTTACTTTGGAGAACACAATTCTGCCAGCTTTGTCTGACCTGACAGTGTTCCCATTCAGCATCCTCTCATACCCCCTATTTGACCTTCACTGTACTTGGCAGCCCCTTATTTTCTGGTTCAGGACAACAGGGTCTCCTAGTTTCTGAGAATATGAAATCTGTGTTTCTCAATCTCCATGTTGGTTTTCAGGCAATTTCTAAAAAGAGGAAAAGGGAATTATTTAAAACCACTAGTCCCACCTCAAAAAAATAACATAACCACAAGTATCTGCCTCAGTAAGTTAGTGAGTTTTCTAAAGAATTTAAAAACACTAGTTTGAATTAAAAAATCACTTTAGTACACTATTGAGTTTTTTCTAATAACGAAACCAATACCTGCATTAAGGTTTCTATTAAAGAACAATACATTGGAAGGCACAAACTTTAACCAAATTACATCTATCCATGTAATTTCAGCCCACTTGGCTCAATGCAAATCTACTACTATAGTAGCCAATGCAACAGGAAAAAAAATTTATCAGCACATAATCCATTACATAATCTGACCACTTCTCTTCCCTTGGTATTAAATAAAATGCAGATGCAAGTGAAAAGCACATCAAAATGCAAATCAATACTGCCCTTTGCTGAAATCACTCACTGGTATATTCCATATTAGCATATTCACCAAAATTTAATTGTAAACAGAGTAATTATGGTACTAAAGTTATTAAATACACAAAGCAAGCTTGGAACTATACATATTCAAATAGAATTTCAGTGGCAGATCAACTTTTATATCTGAAACAATACCCTAATTAATAGTCAGCTCTGATGATAAAATGGTCCTCTGTTTTTCAGATAACATTCCAAAAAAAGTTCTGCAATGAATATTAAAATAAAGTTTTGTGAATAGATTTTAAAATTTTCAATAGCTATATTTATCACAATATGGTACTGTATTTAGACAACTGGCATTTCTCAAGTCCTGGATTCAAATTTGAAATTTTTTTTTTAATCTTCTGCTGAGGAGAGAAAAAAAGCTTGAATGAATCACAACAATGACACTTACATTTAATGAGCTCTATGAATTCATCATATCCAAACTGGAAAATTGTAATGCTGAATAAAGCTCATTATACCCTGGATGACTACTCATAAATTTTCCCTAAAATAGTTATGCATGTAAGCTCCCTTAGGGGGTCATATATTTTTATGAAATTTTCTTTAAAGTCATAAACTCTGATGTGTTTTATACCATATAGAGACATGATGATTCAAGGATAATTTTGGACAAGCTGGACTATTTGCCATTCCATTAACACGGTACTAACATAGTCTTATCTCCTGTCTTGGCAGTATAAAGTCTCTTCTCACACATATCCCGCTCTATATACATTTATGGAAATTTTTCCCATACCCAAAAATCTACCTCTTTCTCAGTCAGATATGACCTCTGTAGTTTCAGTACTGTCTGTACTTCTTATTGCATGGGATAAATAAATATTCCTTTTAAGTTTATAAGCATCCTGAATATGAGAACTGCCTTAGTCACAATACACAATACATAATACATGTACTTGGTATGAATAAATTTATAAACTTAAACAGCAAAAACATTAGTGTTTTTGCCCAAGTACCTGATGTCTATTGCTAAATATATATTGCCATTCCTTTTAAAAGCCTAGCAACCACTCTCTACAATGACTATGTCAAACCCTGTTTATTCTTTCACAAAACTATAATTCCCCTTCCTAACTCATAATTCTCAGATGATCTACTCCAGTTTAGAGACAAATAGAAGCTTCAGATGGGAATTCCCTTGTCTTTCCAAAAGCCAACCCTATAAACCACCTGTGCCCACTTCAAGCCAATCCTAGCTTCCTTCTCTCCTGTCACAATGTGAAGCAGCCATCCTCCTTCTATCCCATCCCCTCCATCTTTCTCAGGACTTACCCTATTAATCCTTCCCTCATATATTCAATGTCTCCCTCAATTGGATCCCTTCCATCAGCTTTTAAATATGCTCACAGCTCTGCCAGTTAAAAAATAAATTTTTTAATCACCCTGCTCTACCATCCTTTCTTTTCCCTTTCCATGCCAAACATCTCAATAATCATGTGGACTTACTGACTTTTCCTTTCCCTTCACTCCCTCAACTCACCCCATCTGGGCCCCACCTTCATGACTGCACTCTAACAACTCCTGGGAAGGTTACCAGGGAGCTCCACACCCAGAATCCAGGTGACATTCAGAATCACTTGGCCTGTTCAGTGGCACAACACTGTAGTTCTTTCTTTCTTTCTTCAAACAGTCTCTTCCTTTTGCTTTCACAATACAATACTGTCCTGGAATTCACTCTACCATTTAGGCAACACACAGTTCTAGATAATTTGGAGGAGAAAATAAGTTCTTCTTTCAAGATGAAATGAGCTTATTCTTTCAAGGAGCTTTTTTCACTTTATGATATACAGTTTTCCAGGGTTATATGTTAAAAAAGCAGACCACCTACACTTCCACAGCTTACACCAATATACAAATTTTATTATGACAATAAATTATATAAAGAATATGCTATTAAGTAAAATTAAGATCATTGGAAATTCAGGATAGAAGCATATACTTCAAAATATAAATGATTGATAATGTCATTCCTTTAAGCTAACAGATCTCTAGGAAAGAGTTTATAGTCTTAGAGAGGTATATGTACACCCAAATGCTTAGCAGCACTATCCACCAACAGCAAGAGGTCTAAGCAACCCAATTGTCCATTAACTTCTGAATGAATAAACAAAATGTGGTATATACATAAAACGGAATATTCTTCAGCCTTAAAAAGAAATCCTGACACATGCTACACCACAGATAATCTTGAAGACAGTACGCTAAGTGAAATAAGCCAGTCACAAAAAGACAAATACTATATGATTCCATTTATATGAGGTAACTGAAGCAGTCAAATTCACAAAAACAGAAAGTATAATAGAATGGTGGTTGCCAGAGACTGAAGGGAGAGAGAAAAGCAAATTATTATGTAATAGCACAGAGTTTCAAAATTGCAACATGAAAAAGTTCTGGAGATCTGCTTCACAACAATATGACTACCCTTAACGCTACGGAACTGTATACTTAAAAATGGTTAAGATAGTGATTTTTATGTTATATGTTTATTAATCACAATTAAAAAAAAAAAAGTCTCCAGATGCAACAGGTAAAACAGACACAGAAATTAAGTTGAACCAAGATAATACCAATATGAGGCCAGGCACAGTGGCTCACGCCTGTAATCCTAGCACTCTTAAGAGGATGAGGCGGGAGGATAGTTTGAGCTCAGGAGTTCAAGACCAGCCTGAGCAAGAGTGAAACCCCATCTCTACCAAAAATAGAAAAAATTAGCTAGGCATGGTGGTGCGTACCTGTAGTCCAAGCTACTCACAAGGCTGAGGCAAGAGGATTGCTTGAGTCCAGGAGTTGGAGGTTGCTGTGAGCTAGGCTGATGCCACAGCACTCTAGCTAGGGCAACAGAGTGAGACTCTGTCTCAAAAAAATTAATTAATTAATTAATTAATTAAAATGACAATACCAGTATGTTCTTGGTACCTATGGAGTCACTCCCCCATACACACAACTACCAAAACATTACAAGTGGTACTTTTTTCAAAGGTTGTTCTTACAGAAGCTAATTACATAAATCTACTAGTTATCCCAGCAATAAACAAATGTTAACTGTGAATTATGTAAATTTATGAATAAGCATAATCATATGGCTTGTTCATTCATTCACTCTACAAACATTCATTGATAACCTACCACGTGCCAAGCACTGTTCTAGACACTTGCTATATATACCTCAAAGAACAAAAGTCCTGCTCATTTGACACTTATATTCTAGCAGGAAGAGACATAATAAGAACAAATAAGTTATTGCCTAATACTTTAGAAAATGTAGCTGTCATACTTAAGTATAACAGGAAGTGACAGGAGATAGAGGTTAGGGAGTAGAAGGTGGCAGAGGTAGCTTGTAGTAAAAACAGAGTGTTCATGGTCAGCCTCCTCCACGAGGACTTTGCTCATTCATCTAAGCAAAGCCTTGGAGGAGGTAAGGGAGTTGGCCATGTGAGTATCTGGGGCAGACAGGAAGAAGAGTTGTGCCAAGACCTTAAGGTGGGAGCATGCTTGGAGCCAGTGTGACTAGTGTGGAGTTAGCAAGGGAGAAAGTAGGAGATCAAGTCAAAGGAACAGATCAAGGAAAGCCTTGAAGACCACTGTTGGTTGGGACTCTGACTTTGGCAAAAGAGTAAACATACTTCTATAAGATTTTAGAACATGCTATATACTTGCATTTTAATTCACAATGCTTCAATCGAATTAAAAATCATACTCTGAGCACATGAGTCAAGAAAAACTCTCCCACTGACTAAATTCTCACCAAGTTTTTACATTTTTTATGTTTTTCACTAACATGTATTAATCCATTCTCAAAATACATTCCATCTGTAGACTAAACCATGTAATAAGCTTAAAATAAATCCAAAATTTTAAGTGCTTCTATAGTGCCTTTGTCACAAAGGTCACCTTGAGGTAGGAATGAATGGGTTTGAAATGGATCAAATACCATACCTAAAAAGTAGGATTGGACTGAGCCCTATTATCCCTTTAGCTTAAATATTAGTAATTTGGTAATGCTATTAGAGTGAATGGTTTATAAATTTTTTTACAAAAAATATGAACATTTTTACCATGCTATACCCTTTTTTAAATCTAAAATAAAAATAATATCAAGTCCCATGGAATTCTACATTACTACAACATATACCCTGCTTCATTAATTCATTTACTCAATACTTATTGACAACATACTCTGTGTGGGAACTGTTTTAGAAGACAGGGATAAAGCAGTGAACAAAGTAGACAAAAAGCCCTACCCTCATAGAACTTATATTTTATTCAAGAGAGATAAATAATTTAAAACACTAAAACATGTCATATGTCCAACTTTAATAAGGGCTAAGGGAAAAAAAGGGAGTTGGTAAAGGGAGTACAAATTTTAAAAGATGGTTTGGTAAAGCTTCACAAGAAAGTGTGAAGCACATTTAAGCAAAGATCTGAAAATAAAGTGAGAGAAGCTAGCCACACAGATGCTCTGGAAGAAGAGCATCCCACACTGAGGGAAGAACAAGTACAAAGGTGGTAAGGCAAGAATATGACCAGCCAGTTC